CAGTTTTTAGTACAGTAATTCAACTAATTGTTATTTTCTCAATCATGTCATTGCATTCTTATTTGATTTATTATTATCTTATATACTAGGATTATTGTTTGCTTCAATTGTTCAATCACCAGTTTTCATTTGTTGAATTCAACCCTATTTGTGGAATGAGTTACTGAATACTTTATGGGTACTACTGAAACAGAAGAAAAATAAAAACAGATCTCTTTACATGTATGCAATTATGACTGTTTCATAGGTGCAAGTTTTATGTAATGATGTTGTTTTACCAAAAAATGCAACGATGAAGTATGTTTGGTTGTCACAATGGCGAGGTCTGGTACGTATTCTTTTACTTGTAAATCAGACAAATAAGTTAAGTGGTGTGTATCCTAGAATGAAGTGATATAAATATTATCTTTTTGGCGGTTCAAATCCTACCTAGGGATTGAATATTGACACCTATACTATTAGGGGGAGGGGCCTTAATTGTGTGCTAGTGCACGTGTTAAACTAGACCTGCTAGACGCAGGGATATCACATGTAATTTATGATAGGATGATGAACGCAGAGTTCTGTCAAACAGATGCACAAAATGCATCACTCGTACATTACAAATAAAAAATTTATTCCACTGTTGTTAGTCCCTGTCTGAAAAAGAAAATACTAATTATGTCTTCCATCTGTCCGGATGTGCGTCCTCAACATATTCTCAGAAATTCTGTGACAGATATAAAATTTGACACATCGATGAAAAATATAAAAGGCTCTCAATTTCTGAGAATTACGGTACCGGATTCGGCTGATACCCCGCCCTGGGCGATCTTATGAAGGATTCAATTTTTTTTTAGAAAAATGTGGACCAAAAGATCGCCCAGGCGATGTTTTGGCAGATATTACGAAGCCCATATTGTCTGGAAAAATAACTCTGCGTTGATAAAAAATAGTCTCAGAAAATGTTTAGAAAAAATAATGTTTCACGTTGACCAAATATAATCATGCAAAGTATAAATTCAAAGTGTTTTAATACATTGGTGAGAGGTCAATTTTACGTGAACAAGAACATGCACTAAGGAAAAGCAAGCCAAAGTCGAAACGGGGTGCATCATAGACATGACACAACACACGCTGCGACAACTGTGTGATCAGCGACATCATTTTGGGGCGCAATTGAACTTCAAGTACTTCTGCGAAACTTGCTGCGCGGCGATGCTGGCATCAAGTGTGTGTTGACCGAAGTTTGACCCAAAGTCGCGCACTGGACTGGCGCGTTGCTTTAGCAACCTTTTTCTTTTGTGGTCCGCGCGTCGATCTAGTAAAATTGTTATTATATCCGACGGCACTGTAATTACGCAACTTGTACTGTACTGTACTTGTACTGGCTTTGAATATATCAACGTTGTTTACTTAGTTCACTGCTTTTCTAAATACGCAAATTTGTTTACAATATTGCACGGGCTCTAAATATTTCAATTGTGTAATGTATTGATTTCACGATAATTACGCAAATTATTTTTTACTATTGTTAGGATGCTGACCCGGGGTATTGGGTCTGTGAATATTTCAATATTACCGACTTGATAATGCGTTGAATTTGTAATAATTATGCAAACATAAACATGGGCGCATTTAAATCATTGAAAAGGATAGTAGTCAGGTGTCTACGGAAAGTCAAGAAAATATTTTAAATACTTGTGATTCATCGATGTTCCAATGGTGAATTATTTTATTCGAAATGAAGTGAACATGTAATATAAACCATACTATGCGTCAAGTTAAATTTTACTATAATATAATAAACTCTGTACAGCGCACTTCGATTGCAATATTCACGTACATTTCGACTGAACTCTAATAACCACGCGTTTGAATTACGTGCGGCATTGGGCAATGACCTCCAGAGTTCACGCACTGATATTTAAATTCGGGCCATCCAGCTTGACGCAAATCAATATAGTTACTTTTCATTTGTTAAAAAAATCTTTCAACTCTCACAAATGCTATGAACGCAAAGAGTTAACTGGGGGTTAACTGAAAGCGAACATCATTTTTGGACAAAAAACACGTCAGTGCAAGATTATGTGTGCAAGGTTAGATTTCTAGAATGTACATGACCTCTTAACTCTGTGTTTTTTTTAATAATCATGTCGCATGTGAAACGCAGGAGACATTTTAGTTCGCCCATTTCTTGTTTACCGATCTTGAACTTTTTGTCTGGAATGCAATACAGACAAAGATTAAACATTACTGATAACAACCAAGAGGCTCGAATCATGAAGGCTTGGCTATTTTAAACTTCGTAAATAACATTCCTTTCAAGCATAGACTTTATTAAGTCTAATAAACGTAAGTGAAATGTATTTTAACGAGTAATAATACGCAACAACAATTCGTATGCAACATTGGTTTTATGCTTTTCGACTTCACAGTGAATCATTTTTAGCGTCATATTTGAAATAGCGCGCTCGATACAAGATGTCGGACGGGAAAATTGGGTCTGTAAAATACTTTGTAGGCTCAGTCAGGCAATATGTGGACCAAAACATCGCCCACTATTTGAAACATCGGCCATGGGCGGGGTTTAGGATGGGTAAATGTATTTCAAGAACAGAAAAACAGTGAATAGAAAATGTTGTATTGGTATTCTCTAATTACTAGTGAGACTAGTATTACAGAAAATACTCTCAAAGTACTAGTATCATGGATTTTCTACTAGAAACCAAAAGTCACCTTTAAGTATGTGTTTTTTTGAAGTACAAGGTACTACAATGTTTTCTGATATATATAAAAAAAAATTCTGTGACTTTTTTAATTTCAGTGTTAGATATTGATGTATTTATTATGATAACCTGAATATATACTCTAACCAGTGTATGTTCGTCCATATGTATGTTCGCTCACACGTCTATACGTTCGTACAGAGTCATATCAGGAGCACTGTATCAGATAGACATTCAGTGTTGTATTGAAGACATTGCACACTAGATCTGATCAACATATCCAATGACCATATTATGGTTATGTGACCTCATTAAATATGCATAAACATCATATCTGGAGCACTATTTCAGATAGACATTCAAACAGTGTTGTATTGAAGACACTGCACACTAGATCTGATCAACATATCCAATGACCACACATAGTCATGTGACCTCATTAAATATGCATAAACATCATATCAGGAGCACTATATCAGATAGACATTCAAACAGTGTTGTATTGAAGACATTGTACACTAGATCTGATCAACATATCCAATGACCACACATAGTCATGTGACTTCATTAAATATGCATAAACATAATATCAGGAGCACTATATCAAATAGACATTCAAACAGTGTTGTATTGAAGACATTGTACACTAGATCTGATCAACATATCCAATGACCACACAGTCATGTGACCTCATTAAATATGCATAAACATCATATCAGGAGCACTATATCAGATAGACATTCAAACAGTGTTGTATTGAAGACATTGTACACTAGATCGGATCAACATATCCAATGACCATATTATGGTTATGTGACCTCATTAAATATGCATAAATTTTATCTCTGGAGCACTAATGCAATTCAACCATTGCTTTATTTTAGACATTGGATACTAGATATAATTAACACACAGGTAGACAATTAGTGACAGAGGTATTACAATCAATGCAACAAGTGAAAGAAAAGCCATAGACCATATCACAATTCTAAATCATAGTGAATTGTTAGATGGTTCAAAAATCCCACAATGCACTATAGTTTACTACCTCACCTACCAGAAAATTTGTGGAAATAATAAATTTCATTTATTACGTGTTAGGCTTAATTACAGCCCCAAACGGAAACTAATAGAGAATATACCCAGGTCCAAAAGAAACACTCTAGGGTAGCATTCTCTTCTAAGAAAAAGGGGTCACCTCCTAGGGCGATCATGCACCCGAGGCCTGTCAGTTTCAATTCCCTTATGTTCCAATGCGATGTAGACAGATTATTTTTTTCCTCTACAAGCTGTACTGGAAAAAGAGGCAGATTACTGATCTTCACTGGGCTTTTCCTAGAAATCTAGTGTTTGTGTGATCGACTCTAACTTTTGCTATTACGGTAAGGCATTTCCATTATTAAGGCTCCAGTTATTGCCTGTTTTTGTTGAATTGCCAGCTCAGTTTGAATTCGCGTTGATTCCTTTTTTGGCGGGATGAATATCTCGCAAGTCCAGGAGCAGTTTCGATTTAGCAGGAGGCAGTACTGAGTCAGTGCACCTACCCTACTCCAGCGGGAGACGAGTCTGATTTCCTGCGGAGAGGGCAGTGGGCGCATGGCCGGCTGTTTAGTGGCCGGCTAGCTGATGCTATGGTTGTTTTGGTAGTTGCTCAGGGTCCAATTGAAGCAATCATTCTTGTTGGCTAGGGCTGTTTGCCCTTTTTCAGCCAACAGTTCAATCCAAAACCGCAAGAGGACTCAGGCAATAAGTTCCCCCGCTTAGAACCAGTACCAGTGAGGATCTAAGTGCTCACAGTCTCTTTCTAAGGAAGAAGACCGGTAGCGGGAAATGTCAGAAAAGGTCCAAGAGCGTGGCTCTTGTGGTAGGACGTTCTGGCACTTCTGGGGACCAGGGAGCCACAAAGTCTCTTTAAAGGCTTTACTGGCTGCCTGGGCATAGATGGTGGTATGACCCCCCCCCCCCCCCGAGTCTTCGGGCTCAACCACCCTGTCTGTCTTTGTCCTCCTACGCTGGAGGCTGGAGTTCATGGAGCTGTAGTTCTGAACTCCGTCCGCTCCTCCCCGTTGGATCGCGCCTCAAGCAGTACACACCAGCTTGGTGCAGGAGAGTTTCTGATCCCTGGACGCTTGCAGTAGAGTCTTGGGGGTATCAAAGTCCTCTTCGGCCTCCTCCTCCTCTGACTACTAATCCCCCTCTGGTCTTCCACCGAGGGATGAGGTCAAGGCAGAGACGACCTGGCAGGAAGTAACCAGCCTTCTGGAGAAAGGGTGGTATGCCTAGTGGAGAGCCCCATTTAAAGGGTTCTATTCCCACATCTTCGTCATTCCCAAGAGTTGGGGTGGGGGGGGGG